TTTGAGCAGCCAAGCGGACCCCGGAGCGCGGTGAGACGCGACTGACGACCGACCCCTGCCCCTTCCGCCCCCTCTCCGTGTCTTTCTGGGAAGAGGAAGTCTGCGTTTTCAGGCTAACCCATCGATATGTGGCGTCCTTAGAGCGAGAGCGCGGGCCAGCAACTGGTTTGCCCACAGAGCGGGTGTGAAAAGCGAGCAGGGTCTGGGAGGTGTTTTGCTGGAGGGGCATCTTGGTTAGCTTGTAATTCCTCTGCATCACTTTTAAGACAGAGCGAGAAACTTTACTACCGACAGGATCTGCAGTGTTTTTCACCGGACTTCTGCCTGGCTCCTCCGGTCTCCTTCCTTACCCGAAAGGGGACGTTGTGAACTACCTTGGGACTTAAATCACCATCAAGCGTTTCAATTTTTAATATGACAACATTCTACACTTTGGCTGCAAAAGCAATTATTGCGGCTTGTACACCAGTAATTAGCAGATCTTTGCTGATGTAAGGAAGGTCCTCATTAGGACAAGGAAATACTTTTTGTGCATTCACCCAAAGGGTTGGTTGGGTTTTGTTGTGGTTCTTTTTACTTTTTTTTTTTCTTCTGAAGGTTAATTTTTATCATCTAAACGGAAAAAAACTTTTACACTAAATAGAATATTGACTTTCTGTGAACTTCACGAAATAATACGTGTACTGTAGGTTTTGTCTCAGTGCTCCCACTGACACTCAGGGTAGGACAAATACTACGACTACAAAATGTAAAACTAACATTTGGTGAAATAAAAATATCCAGAAGGTTTGGAGTGAGTGGTGAGATCCACATTAACATTTTTTTTAAAGTCGAGATATACAGCAAACTGATCAGACGTTAATACTTAATATCATAATCTTTAGTATATTTATCTTTGGGGAATCCTAAAAGAGAAATCAAATACAATGGGTTACAGTAATTAATTTATAAATCGTTTCACTGTGGGAATAAGGGGTTACTTTATTACTTTCTCGAGATAGGTTGTTCAGTCAATTAAGGAAATCTGCCTATTTCTTGCATTTGAAGCCGGATAAAACTACAGGAGATATGAGATATATATATATATATATATATATATATATATATATATATATATATATGCCTCCTTCACTTTATTGAGCATCTCGGGCCATAAAAGTAGGGCTACAGCATGGTCGTGTCGCCAATGAACTCGCTCCTCAAAGCCTGCGAGTTTATTGCCATCAGTATTCATGAGGCTGGACGTACCCACGAGGAATAGAAATAACAGCGAACATTAAGATAAAATCTATTACCAGGCCCGTGCGATTCTGAGCCTGGCTCAAGCCGTCTGCTCGGGGAACTGGCTGTGTGTGGTGAGGAGAGGAGGGGCTGCCGAGGGCTGGTGACATGGGGGGTTGATCCCCGGCGTGCCCAGGGGAACCCCCCAGGGCAGCAGCCCCTGCACTCGGTGTAGGGGAGCAGAAGGGCTACGACGCTGGAACGGGAGTTAGGGTCGGGCTCTAATTTTGAGCGTTGCTTTAAAAGTTAGCGTGAAGTTAGTGCTTCACCTCTTAAAAAAAAATTTAAAAAAAAAAATTTCCAAGGACTGCGACGGAAAGTTTTACCTCCCGGACTTGATAGGTGACAGACCAAGCAGTGCCCTAAAAAAACCTCTTGTCCTGCTCCTCCCTTCTCCTGAAAGATCAGACAGAGAGAAATCTTGGCTGCAAGTCTCTACGGAGGCTTTTGCCTCCGGGGCAGCAGGAGGGAATGGGCGGGGGCCGGCGGCAGCCTCCCCAGGAGGCGCCAGCAGCCTGCCTCCTCCCCAGAGTCCGGAGGCTTTGCCAGCCCCGTCCCTCGGGCAGCCGCGGTGACCAAGGCCAGAGCAGTTTCTGTGACTGGAGCAAGGAGCCCTTGAGAGGGGGTGTCTCTCCAGCCGGGCGGGACTACTTCATCCTCGACGAGTATCCAGCAGGACGCATATCGCTAGCTGCAGAAATAGCGTGCCCATCCACAACTCGACGTCCAGAAGACACTGGAGAGATGGGACAGGACACTTAGAACTTCTAAAGGTCGCCACCTCCTTAGCCTCCGGCTGGCGCTAGGGCGGAGGTGTGAGTGGGGCTGAATTCTCTGCCTTTCTGGCCGAAAAAAATAAGCCTGTGAGCAGAAGGGTCGTTTTAAAAGTACTGGCGCGGTTGATGCTCCTCCAGCCAAGGAGAAAGTCTCGTCCAGCAGCGCCCGCCCAAGCCTCCCATCCCCATCCTGCTGGTGGCTGCCTGCCCTCCCTGCCTGCCCTCACTGTCTCGGCCCAACCCCTGCCAGCCCAGAGGTTAAAGACCCGGCCGCAGCGGCAAAGCATGTCCCCAGTGTATGTGGGCATGAAGGAAGGTCACCGCTTAGCCTGGAAATCCTCCTCTCGGCAGCCTTTGCCACCACTTACACGATTTTCCCTCCTCTCAATGTTTTCCTTAGGGAAACCTGGTGTACTTGGCCTGACAGCATCCTGTAGAGCGGGGTGCGCGCAGAGACGCACTGACAAACACCCACGCATCCCAGGCGGAACAGCATCCCACGCCTTCCTCCACCGGACGAGGACGTGATCACCACTATCGGTCTCCCTTCCCCGTCGGGGTCTGCCCAGGAGCCCCGCGGCGCGTGCCGCGGGCTTGATCTCGCCGCTGGGTGGGAGTGACAGGCTGCTCGGCTCCGGCCTGGCTCCTGCCTCTGGGCGCTTTTCAGCAACTTTGGAGAAAAACAGTGATGTCTCCCGCTTTCCTACTGCTCCCCATCCCTTCCCCAGGTGGCTTTTCCTTTACAAGGCATAATAGCTTAGAAGCAGCTAGAATAAGTCATATAGCTTTAAAAAAGAAGAAAAGTAAATAAATACATAAGGTATGGTTTGTCGATTCTGATACAATGTCGATAAATAAGGGGAGCCCAAGCCCGTTTCAAGTTACACCCTTTTCAGAGATGAAGTTGCATTCCGATACCCCAGGGGACGCAGTAATGGATGGAGACCTGGCTCCCTCTCGCACAAGTAATTGGCAGTCGTTCCCTCCTTCCTCCTGGACTGGCTGGGGAGCTAGGAAAGGGCTTATGAAAACAGATGTGGACTTCACCTGGGGTTGTGGTATGTGCTCTGTGTATGTGTCCGTCCGAGTGTGCGTGTGTGCGTGTTTGCCTGCGTGCCATTTCGGCTGTGTTTATGCGCATAAATAAGAAGCGTGCAGGAGAAACAGAACAATTCTGTTGCACTCCCAGGCTGTCACATCCCTGATCCAAATATCCTACTGCCTCTCCCCGCTGCTTGCCTGCCTGCAGCCCTGTTGGAACAAACAACGTAGCATCTGGTCAGTCACCGAGGGACGGCTCCAGCGTGCCCCAGGGGACAGGATTCACCTTGGGCCGTTCGCTAAGAATCCACATTAATCTCACAGGCACAGTAGCAGATTCACTGCTTCCACAGTTTTGCCTCCAACTCCACAAACAACTCCAAGAAAAAAATTGAATCTACTCTAAAACGGGACATAACCTTCGAATCACTCATAATACAGTGCACTATTAACCCTGGTGTGAACCCTTAACTGGTTCAAATGCAAGAGTATTCAAAGAATAAACCACAGAAACGGGAGGAAGAGAGAAAAACGCAGAGAAAGATATGAAGGAAGGAAGGGAGGGAGAAAGGGAGAGAGAAAGGAAGAGAGAAAGGAAGAGAGAAAAAGAAAGAAAGAGAGGGAGGGAGAAGGGAGAGAGAAAGGAAGAGAGAAAAAGAAAGAAAGGAAAGAAAGAAAGAAAGGAAAGAAAGAAAGAAAAAAGAGAGAAAGAGAGAAAGAGAGAAAGAGAGAAAGAGAGAAAGAAAGAAAGAGAGAAAGAGAGAAAGAGAGAAAGAGAGAAAGAAAGAAAGAAAGAAAGAAAGAAAGAAAGAAAGAAAGAAAAAAAGAAAAAAAGAAAAAAAGAAAAGAAGGAAAGATTCTGTTTGTGATTGTTTTCTGCTTCAGGCCACGCCAGTGAAACTTGAGTTTTCCCACGGAGCGGAGTTCGGGCTGGGCAGCAGGAGGAGATGCACAGTCTCACCTCAGCGGCGCTGCCCGTGCAGAGCGCACACACACACACGCCCCGCGTGGGTGCAGCGGCTGTCACCCGCGGCGCCTGGAACAGCAGTATGTTCACTAAAACTACACGAGGTGAGGGGAAATTAAATTACAGGGAAAACCATAGTCTCTGAGCGGTTCAAACAAATGTCTAGCACGGCAGTTCTTCTCCAGGAGCGGTGTACATTTCGCGGCAGGAGCGGGGAGAGGCCGGAGGACGCCCCTTTCTGTGACGGCGCCCCGCAGCGCGGACGGGCAGCGCACCTTTGTGTTTCAGTGCCGGGGGCCGGGCCGGCTCCCCCCGCCGCTCCGAGGGCAGAGAAGGGGCGCCCTGCCCCGCATCCCGCCCATCCCCGCCCCATCGGGGCGCCCCGGGCCGCGCCGGCGGCCGCGCAGCGCGCACGTGTGGCAGCCACAGGTGCTGCCGCCGCCGGTGCTCGGTGTCGTTCTCTATAAGAGCGGCCCCGCCGCCGCCGCCCCGGCGAGACGGGCGAGGGCTGCGGGAAATGCAACAAGGCGCGGGGAGGCAGGGACCGGGGGCGGCGGGAGGAAAAGAAGAAGGAGGAGGAGGAGGAGGAGGAGGAGGAAAAGGAGGAGGGAGAAAGGGAAGGGGGGGAGACAGCTGATGTCTGTCAAAGCCGGAGCCGCGCTCTCGCGAGAGCCCGCCCGGCGGTAGCCACGGGATGCGGGGCTCAGGTGCGGGCAGAGCGCAGCGCAGCGCGCCCGGCGCCGGGCAGCGGCAGGCAGAGGACTGAGAAAGGGAGGGAGGGAGGGAGCGAGGGAAACGGCGGGGGCCGGAGGGAGCCTCGCCGCCCGCTCGCCCACCCACCCCAGCCCCGGCCACCGCGGCAGCAGCGGCGGCGGGGGCAGGGTCCGCTGCGGCTCCGCCGCCACCACTGGCTCCGTCACCGCCACCCGCCGCTGTCAGCGGCTTCCCCCGGCGGGAAGAGAGAGCCCGGAGAGCACTTTTCCCCCGACTTTAGGAGTGTTTGTGGATTTATATGCCAAGCCTTCAAGATGATGTCCATGAATAGCAAACAGCCGCATTTTGCCATGCATCCCACCCTACCTGAGCACAAATACCCCACTCTACACTCCAGCTCGGAAGCAATAAGAAGAGCATGTCTACCAACTCCACCGGTAAGGGACAGATAGCTGCAGCTCTCTTCTTTCTTTCTTTCTCTCTCTTTTACACACGCACGCACTTTTCTTTCTTTCTCTCTCTCTCTCTTTTCTGTATACTGCATGTATGTGTATGTGCATTAATAAAAAAACGCTGCGAGGCACATTTTGACAAGCGGCGCTTAATGTTTTTTTCATGTCTTCCTCTGCAATCATCTGAGCGCCTGTGATCTTTTTTGAAAGCGGTGTTCACACGAGTCTCCGACTTCATCCACTTTCTGTATTAATTTTTATGACTCGGCCTCTGAAAAGGAATGCGTTTTATGTGCTCTTGTGTTTGACACAATTCCCCAGCTGAGAGTTACAGATCCGTTTCTTCTCCTCCTTTCTTTTCTCCTTTCGTTCCATTTCTCTCCTTTTAATTTTTTCCCTTCACTCCCTCCTCCTCTCCTTTTCGGATTCCTCCTTGCTTCCTGCCCTTTCTACTCTTCGCCTCTTCTTTTCCTCTTTTGCTCTTTCCTTGCTTTCCCCCCACCTCCCGCACTCCCCCCTCCATTACTGTACCCCATCCCCTGTTTCTCCTCACTTCCCCGTCCTGTCGCCTCCTATACCACCCTTCCCTAACCTCTCGGCTCCCCACCGCCACCACCCCGTGCCCCTTTACACTCTCATCCTACTCTCGGCTCCCTGCCCGTACGATCACCCCAACTTTGCCCACCTCTCTCTCCCCTCCATCAACTTTCCTCCTCCTTTCCCACGGCGCTTCCGCAACCCCACGCTCTCCCCCGCCCGTCCCCTTCCCCCTCCGTGCTGTGCCCCATCTCTGCTCCCTTGCCCTTCTCTCCCTGCACCCCGCTCTGTTTTGTCTCTCCTGCAGTTGCAGAGCAATATCTTCGCCAGCCTCGATGAGACCCTGCTGGCGCGGGCCGAGGCTCTGGCCGCCGTCGACATCGCTGTCTCGCAGGGCAAGAGCCACCCGTTCAAGCCTGACGCCACGTACCACACCATGAACAGTGTGCCCTGCACCTCCACCTCCACCGTGCCCCTGGCACACCACCATCACCACCACCACCACCATCACCAGGCGCTGGAGCCCGGCGACCTCCTCGACCACATCACCTCCCCGTCCCTCGCGCTCATGCCCGGCGGAGGCGGCGGCGGAGGCGGCGGCGGCGGCGGCCACGACGGGGCGGGCGGCGGCGGCGGCGGGGCCGGCAGCGGCGGGGGCGCGAGACGGAGCGGCGGGGCGCCGGGCGTGGGCGCGGAGGTAGGGGGGCTCCAGCGCCTGGTGATGGTGGTGGTGGTGGTGATGGTGGT